GGAACTTCGTTGGTCCACAACCTGTTGAAGCTGGGTCATAGACTCTTGTAGAGCGTTGAGCTCGTCCTCGACCTGTTGTCGACTGGCTTGTACGTCTTCAAGCTCCTGGGTTCTGTCAAGCAAGGTGGCTCGCAGTGACTCGAGATCGGAGAGCTTGGAAAGGAATTCTTCTCGTTCGATACGGTAGACTTCTACCTCTGACGACAGCTTGTCTACTGTCAGAGTATATTCCTCCTTCTCTGCTTGCAAATCGTTCAGTTGGTCCTTGAGTTTTTCAGAGTCTGTCACAACCAACAAAGCAGCTGAATGCTCGCGTTCCAGGACTTCATGCCTTTGTAACAAGTCGATAAACTCTGTATCTCGTTGCGATAGTCGATCTCGTTCTGTCCGGAGAATGTCGATTTCAGCTTCCCATTCTGCGGCTCGTTCTTGCGCCTCCTTGGAAGAAATAATAGCTTGAGACTGGAGATCTGTCACTTGGTCTTCAAGGTCGCCATTTTGTTCGAGGACTGTAGTCAGCTGCTCTTGACCCTCTGCCAGCCGTTCCTCCAGAATTTCAACTTCTGCTGAAAGCGATTCAACTTGCTCTTCCAAAGTCACAAGGCGATTCTCCAACTCTTCACGAGCTAGTTCGGTGGCTCGTCGAAGTTGAGATGCCAGAGTATCACCTCGCGAGGTCGCTTCTTCCAAGCTTGCTTGTAGCCGAGTATTTAGCTGTTCTGCATCGCGAAGTCGCTCCAAATCTTGACTTTGGGCATTTGTCAGAGCCTCGATAGCCCTTTTTGCTTCTTCAAGCTCTTGCGTTGGCTCATTATCACCCGTAGCTTGTACTGATGCATCTTGAACAGACGAGGAAGCTGGAGGAGGTTGCGAATCGCAGATGTGAGAACCCTCTTGTTTGGCGGATAGTTTAATTGCTTGGATCTCAGCCCGACTTGAGAAAACGAGCTCGATCAAGGTGGCCGCTTCCTCCGACCTCGCCTTTTCGTTTATCGAGTTTGTTGTTTCCAACTTCTCCAGAGAGGTACGAGCGTCATCCAGCTCAACCCGTACGTCGTCCAAGTCGCGGAGAGCCTGATTACGTTCTTGACGTACGTTTGATGCATCTTCTTCTAGCCACACTCGCTGTACCCGTAACTCCTCAAGTTCCGTTCTCATATTTTCTGCAGCTTCTTCGGCAATTTTGAGGTTCATGTCTAGTCGTCTGTATTCGTTTTGTTGGATACCAATTTGTTCATTCCGTCGCATGATCCGTTGATCAAGTTCCTCAATGTGCCGCTTCAAAACACTTTCGGCATCGGGATTTTCTTCAGAGAGCGCATTCATATGATTATCTCGGAGTTGATCAGCCTCAACTCGTGCTTCATATAGTTCTTCACGGGCAATTTGATGAGCTTCTTCCAGGCGCTCTAAATGTAATGTCTGAGCAGCATGATCACGTTCCAAGTTGCGAAGAGCAGCTGTACGGTCATCGAGTGTGTCTTGTAACTTGTCTCTTGCTTCTTCAAGGTCACGAATTTT